AGACAATAAGGTACAGCCATGAAAAGAACACAGCATGAGAATGCTTTCTTGAAGTATGTGGGATTTCAAATAAGCCTGGAAGGATAAATCAAATCTGGGGAAAAAATGCTTTAGAAATGCAAAGTGACCCAATAGTTAATTTTATGGCATCTGGTGGTAACATTAATTTTACATGCCACATTTTTAATAATCTTGGTTATTCAATAACATTGTCAAGGTCACTGTACATTGTAGAATTTTTTTAAAAACTACTAAAGCATTGAAAGAGGAAAATAACCCTACCACTTGAGTGGACTGTTACTAACATTTTGATGTATTTCTTTTCTGTGTGCTTTTTAACAGTTGTAATCAACTGACCACATCATTTTGTATCCGGAGTTTTTCAGTTAAGATGGACACTTAAACTTTTCTCATGTTATTAAAAAAATCTGTGGATGTGGTATCTTTAATAGATGCATAATATAACACTGTAAAGATACATCAGTTGATGAATCAATTCCCTTATTCCTGTATATTTAGGTTAAGGTTTCTCATCTTTCACTATTATAAGCCTGAGATGAACACAGTAGTTGATGTTTTCATTGGCCTCTGTCCATTTCCTGCTCTGTGTGGTCCCTAGGTCTCACTCTCTTCTCCATCAGCCATGTGGTTTGGGGAGGACTGACCCAGCTCCTGGAGTGGGAGCCATGCCATTGACTGTGAAGGTTGGCTCGGGGATAGGCATATAACCAGTTAAAAAAGACAATACATTCCCATGACACTCCTCATTCAGAAACTTCATTTTCAGAGGTAGAAGTAGTCTATGTGACACCAGAGTGCCTTCATCACATAAGCATAGCCATAGGACACAATTCTGGATCAAATCATTCAAGGTTACAGTGAAAATTTTTTATTTTTCAAGAAAAATAAAGAGGGGGCCTCCTGACCTGTTTGGGGAACATAAAGGAAAAGAAGGGGACCTATCTGAAGGCAAGACAGAATTTACATCCAGAGAAAAAGCTGGTGAAACAAGAATTAGCATATAAAAGCAAATGTATTAAAGTTTAGGACATGGACATTTCATAATTGCTCATTTTGTTCATACGTTTAAAATTCTGTGACAAAAATGACTATTCCATGGATTAGAAAGGTCTCCGGATTACCCAATGTTAGCAGAACTAAAATCCTCAAGAAAGGGGCACCTGGGTGGCTCAGTCAGTTAAGTGTCCAACTCTCAATTTTGGCTCAAGTCATGATCCCAGGGTCATGGGATTGAGCCCCACATCTGGCTCCATGCTGGATGCAGAGTCCACTTGAGATTCTCTCCCTCTCCCTATTTATAAATAAATAAATAAATAAATAAATAAATAAATAAATAAATAAAATCAATCTTAAAATCCTTAAGGAAAAAACTCTTTACCTGAAGGTTGATGAGTGTTTGTTCTACATATACCCTCAGCTCCTAAGACTTAAGCTCGAGGGGACACTTCGGTGGCTCAGTTGGTCAAGCATCTGCCTTCAGCTCAGGTCATGATCTCAGGGTCCTGGGATTGAGCCCCACGTCGCGCTCCCCACTCAGTGGAGAGTCTGCTTCTCTCTCTCCCTCTGCCCCCCCCCCAACTTGTGCTCTTCTGCTCTCTCTCTCTCAAATAAATCAATAAAATCTTAAAAAAAAAAAAGACTTAAACTTGAGGACTGAGAGAGAAAGAAGCTAATCACTAAGGAATCTGAAATCAAGGAAGAGTATCTACTGCTACCAGAAGAGACATGTCCAACTGTGGCTGTCCAGAGTCATGCCAAAGGCTGAAGGACATGGCCACACTCTTGTGAAGTGTGAACGAATTTAGTGAATCCTGGAATCTTCAGGTCTTTGCTGACAAAAAGAAACCTAAGTGAATAAAAGTTCATGGATCCCTGCTCTCTTACCAAGTGACAAACAGTGCTTGGTATGGGGCAGGCTGATGGAGTTTGGGAACTCAGAGATCTCGCTAAAGGAAATTACCTGGGAGCCAGTGGGGGACAAAGGAGCTGGCCTGTAAAACAAGGCTCTGAACTTCTCTGCACATCCACATGCAATACTAGTCAAGGCTTCAATTTGAACCCCAGTCACTTGGCGCAGTGTCTACAGTAGTTATTGGCTACAATGGCTGGTAGGTTGCCATTGTTTTATATATTGCCTTCTGAAACACTGAATACCCTTGTTTGTTAAAAGTAGGTGGAGACATATATTTGAAGGGGCTTATAAGAATACCTCTAATAAATTAGGAAAATACCAATAAAGCGGGCACAGGAAAAGTACAGATAGAACAAGACCAAAGGAAGCCCTAAAACATAGCTATGAATGCCCTGTGGATCCACTCATTTCCCACAATGACCTACAAATTTGGTTTTCAGTTTCCTGCCAGCCAAGGCACAAAGAGTAACATGAGCATTTAAGACAAGGATTTGCACTGTCCATAAGGGATAGGTATATTTGTGTCTTTTGTGGGAGGGTGGGGGGAGGAGGAAGGAGTGAGTTTTCCAAATATTAATATTTGGTAACTAATTAGTTTTGAAGGTCTCTGAGCAGCCATTATAACAATTATTACTTTCATTCATATGGCACTTAATGCTTTGCAAAGTAATTTACACACTTTCTTTAATTTGCACAAAAATCCTGTGATGCAAGATTTGAGGGGATGGTATTATTAAAGCAATAATGTATCTCTCACTCACGCATGGAGAAACTTCACCTCCCTGGAAACACAGTGCAAAAGTAGAAAATAAGCAGAAAGATCTCTGAAAATAAGAAACCAAATGGCAGCAAGTCTATGCAAAGGAAAGACCTTCTCCCTCAGAACCTAGATCCCCTTACTTAGCCTGAAATTCTAACAAGGATCGTTAACTTCCTTCCTGAAACCACAGCAGATTAAAAGTTAACAACTGAGGGACTATTACAGAGAGGCACTTCTAAAGCCCCCCAAAACTGGAACGTAGGAAAGCAGGGTGGTGTAGAAACTGAAAACCCTACACACTCACCAAGTAGCATATACAGGGATGTGTCAAGAGGTCAGGCCTGGACTCTGACCTCCATAAATCAGTTGTTCACATGGTTACACAGTTACCTCACCAATCTTTCAGGAAGCGAAATGAGATCATGGTCACCCACTCCCAACCCTTACAGCCTTTCAGTGACACGCCAAGGCTCATAAGATAAAAATCCTTATTTAAAATGGCCCACAAGGTCCTGTGGGTTTTGGCTTCTCCTGCCTGCCTCTCAAACTGGTCTCACATTCCCCCACTTCAACCCCACCTGCGTAGGCTGCTTCTGCACACCTTCTTCTCTCTACCTGGACGTGTCTCACTGCAACTTCAAAGGTCATTTCCTTGGGAAGCTTTATTCAATCCTGGAGTCTAGATTAGGTTTCCTTATGAACTCTGAGCACCTTTGCATTTGAGATCTGATCATAGTTGCATTTAATCATTAGTCTGATTGTTCGATACCTATTTCCTCCAGGGTAGTGTGAGCTCTGGGAGAACAAACACCGACCATGTCTGGAATACATGCAGAATAAATATTTACTGGGGAAAAAAAAGAAGAAGAGTATGTAATGTCACAGCCCAAGCATGATACATCTTCCTGGTAAATATTTTAAGTTCACGACAAGATCTTTTTGACAAGGGAGAAGCTACTATTTTCTTTATTAAGGCAAAAATAAAAGATTCATTATGGAGTAGAATGCAGAATTCGTATGAATTTTAAAGCTAAAACACAAGATTCCAGGAATGCTTCAGCCTACGCCCCCCGATTTTTCTCAAGGCATTGTGCTTAAAATAATAAACACGGTGTGGTAAAAGATCCATTTCCCAAGAGATCTGGATAACCAAGGCTCATCTCCGTCTTACTAGATGAGAATGTGTATGAAGAAGGCTTTGCAAACCATAAGGCTTTGTGCAAATATAACTTATCACTACTGAGAAATCTGTCCCGAAGAGGGGAAATGGCTTGGTTCGTAACACCCCGCCAATTACAGGTGAGGCTGGCGCCAGGACCCAGGTCTCCCGAGGCCTGTCCTGCCCACGGCTTTTCGTTAACGCACAGCACTGGCCACCTGCTCCCAGCTGCAAAGGTCCCCTCCCTCCCGGCCACATCTGGGGCTGATGCCCTAAGCCAGCCTCAAATACACTTCAAGTTCTGACCAACCAGAATCGAGAAGCGGGCGGAAAACCCAGCCTGGCCTTTCCTACCATCATAAACCGGAGGCTTTTTGCCTCGCCCTCAGGACCGGGCAGTTTCCCTGGAGGGTTGCAAACGCGGCCGGCTTCGCGGGGGCCCAAACCCGAGAGGCTCTCCCTCTAGCGGCGCAAACGCGGGACTGCAGCGCGCCCCAGAGCCACCGAAGGGGCTTCTCTGAGGTGGGCTGTGCGGCCGCCGGGCTGAAAAGTGCAGGCGGTATTCCCGGGGCTGGGAAGCGGGAAGGCTCAGGAGTAACTCAGGAAAGACAACACACCGCAGGAGCCGACGCGGCTGCCCGGCTTCGCGGTCCTGCGCCGCGGCCCGGTCCTGCGCGCAGAGGTTGGCCACAGCTGCTGCTTAAGGAAACCGGGAGCCCCTGAAGCTCCTGCAGAGGAGGGTGGAGGTCCCCGTCAGGCCCCTCCGAGATGCAGCCGCACTGACCGCTCCATGCGCCCGGCCCGCGCACGCCGGGATTCGCCCGCCCGGCCGGAGCGCGACCGGCTGCGGGAGGGACCCGCGCCGCGCACGCCCACCCACGCCGGGGCTGGCGCGCTGGGGGCGGGCGACCGCCGGGGGACACCGCCCCGCTGCCTCGGGCTCGCGCGGCGCGCGTGCGCGCGGGTGGGCGTGGGAGGCAGGGGCGCTACTAGCGCCCGCGTGTGCGCGCGCGCTCCCCCCGGGCGCCCTCCCGCGCAGGCCGGCCCGGCTCGGCCCCCGCGCGCGTCACGAGGGGCGGGCAGAAGGGGGTGGGGCCGCGGACCGGAGGGGCCCGAGCGGCGGCTGCCGAGCCCTAGCCGGAGCTGGGCGAGGGCGGCTGCGGTCCCGGCGGCGGCGGGAGAAGATGGTGGCGCTGGAGGTAGGAGCGGCTGGAGCGGAGCTTTATTCCCAGGCTTGGCACCAGCGCTGTCATTAGCGCCGCCTGCTCCCGCGGGCCCGCGGACCCAGCTGTCAGGCAAGGTACCACCGCCAGGGAAGGGTGGGTTGGGGGGGGGGTGCTGCCCGGCGCTGATGCTGCCCCTGACGGAGCCCCGGTCCTTGCCGGGGGGGTGCCCCCGGGCGCGAGAGGGGCTGCATGGAACAATAGTGCGGATGAGCGGGGACAGCCGGCGACATCCAGGGGGCAATGCCTTTAGCCATCGAGCCAACGGGGCGGGGGGAAGGGGGCGCTGAAGGCAGGGACGCCTGGTGTCCGGTGCGCGCTGAGATGCGGGGTTTTGGAGGCAGCAGGCGTGCCTGATGACAGTCATGGAAGGAGTGTGTGTGTGTGTGTGTGTGTGTGTGTGTGTGTGTGTGTGTAAAAGGTACAGCCAAGGGGATGGGGGTGGCGGACCGAAGGTGTTGGAGAATGACATTTCCAGGAATCCCCGCTAGGATCTCTCATCCCTTGACTGACTCTCCCTGAGAAAGAGTGTGGTGATGGCAACGATGAGGTGGGCAGGATGCACTTGGTGCGTGTGTGGAGAAGGCTGTGGGGTAGGTGCGGATTTGTAAAATCCCATGTGTGTGAGTGTGTGTATGTGTGTGTCCTCGTGTGATTGCCTCCACGCTCGCCTAGCTGCGCTCCAAACGTAGAGATGTGCGGGTGCCCTGACTTGCTGCCCCCCGCTGACTATGGGAGAGTGTTATTTTGACCCTGCAACTCTGAGTACAGTCTGTGTTCTGCTCTTGCGTGTGGACGGGATTCTCACTTCCCCTTTCTCTGGCTTCTTGACATGGGGATGTGGAAGTGTGCATGTGGATTTGGGCGCATGGCAGGGAAACGGGATCATGGTTACCCCTTCTGGGCTTGCTAGCCTTGCTGGATTTGAAGGGAGCTTCTATCCTGTGACACTACTCTCCTCAGCCCCTGCTCTGTAAGGGTCTTAGATGCCCTGACTCTGCAGTTTCTATTGTTTATCTCTTGTCTGACCTGAAGGAGAAGGGTCTTTAATGGCCACATTGGTCTCTCGGTCCCCACAACTTTGAATGTCAACTAGATCTTCTCCTTCCACATTCCAACACTGGAAACCCTAGGGCTGAAGAATGGCTGATCTTTATGTTGGTTCTTGTAGAATGAACTCTGGAGGTGTGTATAGAAAGATGGGGTAAGGGGGAGTATTTAAAAAGAAGAAAAAGATTGTACCGAGAAATGTTTCATACCCCGTTGGTCAGTGTCACACAGGCAGGGCGTTTTCCTAAGGAAAAGGGATACTTTATTTCTACTGCTGGTGTCATCCACTCTTCCAGCTCTCACAATGGCTAGGTGGTGCCATGTATCATTCACAAACTGAAATCTCCTAAGACCCATGGTGATGGGGTCCTGGTATGATGAGGTCTGGTTTCCTAGCCGATGTAGCCTGCTAATAGAGAATTTGAAAAATATCAGGCTGGCAATAACTCACCCAGTGGGAGCCAGGACACAGAATTGCATCCAGGGTCTATAGCTGTTTAATTGTCTCTGCGTGATAAAGATAGGCTTATGTGGGGTTGGGTAGAAATAGGCAGATAGCATATTCATGTGTGTGTCCACTGCATTTTGGCTCCCCAGTGCCTGTATTTCTCCTGCTGTATTTGTAGGAATTAATGCACCTCTACACTTAATATCTTGATAATGAGATTGGCCTGCTTAGAACATATTTAAATCACAACACCTTAAATTCTGCTGCATTGCTGTCAGAATCCAAACTGGCAGCCCGGATCCTCTTTGAAAAGCCTGTAGCAGTCATGACTATATAAGTAAATATATACCACGTTGGCCTCAGAGGGTTCTTTCTCTTTTTCTTTTCTAAAAAATTTTGTTTTGTTTTGCCAGAGGTTACATGATAATGCTATTACATTGAAAATAATAAAACTAGTGCTGTGCACGTATGTTTTTTTCTTCCTGTTTATCTTCTCTTAATTAATGATGATACATAGACCAGGTGCTCTTGAAACTGTGAACATTAAATTTCCCTATGTCCTTCAGTCAAGCCTTCTAAAATTTTAATGTGAGATTGTTGGATATCCTCCAAGATATACGGATAGATTTATAAAAATGAATTTTGAGTCTTAGTTCTTTACTCCCTATTAGTTCTGCCAATGTCTTTCTGGGAAAAGTACTTATGGAATTTAAAAGTCATTTGAAGACGTTCCGTTTTTTTTTTTTTTTTAAGCTGTTTTATGTTTGCAAGTAAAATCCAGAGATGTAAATGTCTTACAGGAAAGTTTAAGGATATTAGAAATTGACAAGGTAAATACACTGTTTAGAAGAAGAATAATGACACAACACAGTTGATGACTCAGGAATTAGTGATTTCCTTTCTAGTGTAAATGTGATGATTTAAAAAATACAATGCCTGGCTTTTCCAAAGATTGGACTAGTAAGTTTAATGTTACAGCTTAAGTCCTATAATTCAGTCTGGTAAACAAGTTGTACCTTGTGCGGATGCATTTTCTTCACTTAAAGTGCCATTAATGCTTTTCTATTATTGAGTCTCTTAAAGAAGTTATTTTTTTCAGAAAACTTAGAAGTAAAAGACATCTGAAAATTGGCCTGTGGAGCTGAAAGGAATAAACTATGTATGGTACCATGGGGAGATGAGACTTGTATCCTACAAGGAAAAAGTAGTTGTTGCTAAAATTGAGAGAATTTCAAGGACTAGAACCCAAAGTTAACCCTTTGGGTTCAAATCATTAACTCACAAATATTTAATTGCCTACCACCCCTCAGGCTCTGCGTACCTTTGGATAGAGCTCGGGAGATTGAGAAGGGCCAGAGATGTGAAGAATAAGAAGACTTAGATCCTGCTCAGAGGAGGTTCATGGCCTGGAAGGAGAGACAGGGCATGCCTGGAACTGACTATAAAAGTAGTGGCCGCATGGCCCCAAATGCTATATTCCTTCAGTGCTGTGGGTGTTCGTAAGATGTAACAATGACTTCCAGTGAAAGAGTTGGGGAAGGTTACATGGAAGAGGTAGCATTTGAGCTGGGATGTATACGGGTGGTGTCTGGGCTGGCAGGGAAGGAAAGGCATACTCGAAGAGGAATGAGGAGCAGAGACCTGGTGATGGGAAGGGGTGTGCTTGCCCAAAGAATGGTGTGGTTTGGCCAAGGCACAGGGAACGCCAAGGGATGCAATGAGAGGTAAGGGGACAAAGAGAGGTTTGTCCGGGGTTACGGAGAGCTTAGGTACGGATTTCATTGCAGTAAGCACCGGGGAGCCATGGGAAGTTTCTGAGGGAGAGGGTTGACAGGGTCAGAACTGTGCAATACCCCTGTAGCATTTTGTTGGGCATAATGCAAAGAGAAAAGACTGGTAATAGGGAGACCAGATAGAGTCTATCGTCAAATTAGGAGAAAGAGGAAATGAGACAGCAGGAGTGAAGAGGAAGAGACAGACTCAGACATTCACACAGGGTGTGGGAATAATCTGAACCCTGAGCAGGGAAGTCAAAAGTCATCATGGGCTCAGCTGAGACAGGGATTGGGTCGTTGTCAGCGAGGAGGTTCAGAGGGGAATGAGGAAGAAGAGAAAAAAAGAGGTTTCATTCTGGGCATGACAGATTCGTCCAAGTGAAGGGACTAGAATACAGGGGTAGGTTTTCCGGAGAGCTACAGAGAGAGATTTGTGAGTCACCTACTTAGGAGTGGTTTTGATGCCTCAGGAATGGCTAGTGAAGAAAACGGAATGAAACAAAGCAGAAGGTAAGGGTAAGGATCCTCGAGGCATGTCTGTATGTTGGAGGGGAAAAGAGAAAGAAGACGATAAGAACAATATTAAACAAGGGACACCTGGAGCAAAATGGTGCGAGTCGTATGGTGTCCTGGAAGCTGGGAAAGGTGTGGAAGCCAGCACCATTCATACATCATTCATACGGCACATCCCGTAGAGCTGAGGGTACAACAAAGGAAAAGCCATTGGATTTGATTCCTGGCTTTCCTGAATTATCTTCGAGGTAAATGGGAGTGGCAGCCAGGCTGCTAGGGGTCAAAGAGTCAGGGGTGGGGCGCCTGGGTGGCTCAGTCAGTTAAGTGTCTACCTTCCCATCAGGTCATGATCCCAGGGTCCTGGGATCGAGTCCCGCATCCGGCTTCTCCTTGCCCAGTGAGGAGCCTGCTTCTCTCTCTGCCTGCCACTCCCTCTGCTTGTGCTCTCTCTCTCTCTCTCTCTCTCTCTGACAAATAAATAAATAAAGTCTCTCTAAGAAAATTAAAAATAAAGAGTCAGGGATGATGCATTTGGAAAGCAGTGAAGACACACTTCCGTTTAAATAAATTGGGTGGCAAAGGAGGAAAGAATTTGATGCAGCAAAGAAGTGGCATACTATAGAGAAAGTAATGTTTTTAGTGTAAGAAGACTTGAGCCTACTTTATCACCAGAGAAGAATCCATAGAAAGGGAGAGAGATTGAAAATGAAAGAGAGAGTCTAAACAGACGGAATGGAATCTTCAAGAAGATGGGAAGATACTGGATGAAGGCAGAGGAAGGACTCTTGAGACAAAAGCATAGGGGTTTTGAGGTGGAAAGAGAATAATTTGACCATCGTCTTCTAAATAAAGTCAAAGGTCGACAGGTGGGCAGATTGAGACCCTGAGTAGAATAATGAAGACTTGGAATATGCCTTGTGGAAATGTAGCAGTGAGTCACTTAGGGGCGAATAAAAGGTTACCATCTAACTATGAAGTCCTGCTGCATTTGGAGAGTATGAATTTATAGTGGAACCAATTAGCCCTATATAAGCAGAGCTTGAGAACTACCTATATAATTTTTGTAATAGTACACACTTAATGTTAAATACAGTGGATCCTCTTTCGCTTAAACTCAATGAAAAGAGAAAAACGTTTACCTTTCAAATTAGCTGAATAAAAACCTCCACCTGAAGTATTTCCTGTGACACTTCTCTCTGAGGGATTGCTGACTTAAATCAATAAAGCATATAGTAAAAAAATGGAAAAAAAACAAGTGTTTTCAAAAAGATGAGCTTTATAACAGCAGGAT